GAAAGCACTCTTCAATGAGGCACGATCATGCCACAATCCCTCCTCCTCCATTCTCCTCTCAGGATTTTAGGCATACGCTGGTGTGATTTTTGAGCTGCTGGGCCTGGGACTCAAACCGTTGAGTGGACCATGTGGGAGTCTGGTGCCTTAATCACTGTATCACCTACTGGCCCCCTCAGTGTGTTTGTAAGCTGGTGGGTCCAGGATTTGTATTGTGAGGTAGGCAATGTAGGATCCATCTCCCTTAACCACCAAGGGCCAGAGTTGGCCCAGGTTCTGTTCTGTTCTGTTCTGTTCTGTTCCATTCTCTTTTCTTTCTTTCTTTTTTTTTTTATATATTTTTGTTTTTATGGCCTGTGTGCTTGATGTAGAGACAGAAAGACAGTGGGAAATCAACAACCCTCCCTCCCCAAGGGGGTTGGCTATGCTGCAATTCCTTTTCCTCCAGTCTCCTCTTGTGATTCTGGGCACACACACACACGTACCCAGCATGAGTTTCAAGCTGCCAGATCTGGGACTCAGACCACAGTTGGCCACAGAGGAATCTAGTGCCTTAATTGCTATGCCATCTGCTGGCCCTGGCCCAGATTACTTAATGGCAGAAAGTAGGAAGGGTAGACATGTTGCTGGATTGGCCATTACACTAAAGTAATGTCTAGCACATGGTAGGCTCACAAATATTTGTAGGAAGAATGCCTCGCAAGGTAATTTTATACTTGTTCTTAGCCCAAGGACCAACATGTGATTACAGGGTCATTTTGAAAACAGCAGTGCCTTACATTTTTTCATAATGCTTACTTCTTCATTTTATTACCTCATGGCCTCCTTATAGTAGCTCTGAACAGTAGATTTGAACAGACGTTATTCCCTGTAACTAGCTAGACTCTCAATCTTTTTGTTAAAATGTGAAAAGTTGCAGCGATAGGTTTTACCTTTTCCCATTACGATTATCAGAAGAAGTGCCAACAATTCCTTTCTGATGTGAGCTACTAATCTTGCACGTATTAGTTATTTAAAAATACTGAGGAATCAATTATACTATTATCAGGTAAAGTAAGATAACCAGCTGGAAGTATAGGTTTCTTTTTTTCTTTTTTTTTTTTTTTTGTCATAGGGCATGACAACAATCTTCAAGGTCTTCAAAGTCTTAGAAGAATCTTTTCTTCCAATGATACTTCCAAGGGCAAATTTATATTAACAGAGAGAACAGAATAAGTTAGTAACAGTTATGAATATTCACACAAGTCTCCTTGTTGCAAAGGAAACAAGATTGATATGCTTGTGAATGTTCTCAATTTAATACCTTATCAAATCAGACTATTTGACTTTGTTTTATGATGCAGAAAGCTCTATCTTATAATGTTAGGAGAGAAGAGACATCTCCTTTTCTCTTTTAGACTTCTTTTGTTAATTGTGAAGAATCACATTTTTTTAAAGGCCAGGCTCAGGAACTCCATTACTTAGCATAAAAAGTGAAAAGCAGGCCTAAGACCTCATTTTTATTTGCAAAAATGGAACAAGGGATGAATAAGATTTTACTTATTAACAGTGAAAGGAGAAGCATATAGCACTAATCTTCCATATTCAGATCTGAAAACGAGTAATGTGTTATTATCACAAGAGTGGCAAAATCGACAAGAAGATGTCAACAAGCATAGGTAAAGGTAATTCTTTCTTCAGGTTTCTTTTAGAGGTTTCAAAACTAAAAAGCAGGCAACACTACAGCATACTTGGCCAGAAAAGCAAGTTTTTCTGCTCTTTTAAGCCTCTTCCAAGAGGCAGCAGTTCCTGAATCTGACTGTCCCACTAAACTGTATGGAGACTTGAACTCTACAGACTATATTTTGTGGGAACCTTGTCTACCAGGACTTGCTGAGGTTGGTGAGTTAGGTCAGATATGGTAGTCCAAAACTGTGGTCCTAGCTACTTGGTAAAAAAATAAACAGATTATAATTACACAAGTTATAGAACTAATCCAAAAATAGTTTCCTAGGGTGTTTGGAATCATTCTTAGACATCAATTACTTCTGTATACTGGACTTAGACATCTTGTACTCAAATCCTGACTCTGCAGTTTATTTGTGTGACATTAGGCAGGTTAATCTGTATCAGCAGTGTTTTTTTTTTTTTTATATGAAAGACAAGAATTATGACAGTATTTCTCTCTTAGGGTGTTATTTTATTAAACTTGGTTTGCAGGTAAACATTTATCCCAGTGTCTTACACTTGGTAGGGTCTTAATAAATATTAGATGTTGTTATGATTGCTATCTGTTTGATCTGATTAATTATGGAGTCTTACATATTTTTTCTTTATTCATTGACAGAGCTCATATGCCCATACATAAGACTGAGTGAGAGAGACAGAAAAGCACCCTTCCCAGTGTCTGGTCATACCACAGTCCCAATCCTTCAGCCTGACAGACCTGTGCACTGCGTGTGTTTCCAGTGTTTCAGGCAGATCAGGAATTCAAACCATGATGGCCATGTGAGATGCAGCCTCTCTTGAGCAGTGAATTACCACTATATCATGGAGTCCCAGTTGTAGTCTTGGACTGGATTCCATACATCTTCTTGTCCTTATTAATCAGCCCCTTGTTTTTATAAGGCCCCAATTCTGTCATGGTTTCCTTTGGCTCTGTCTCTACTCATCACTGTCCAGTCTCTGGCATACAGATGAATCTACTACCATGGCTCAAGTACCCACCCCTGGTCCAGTCAGCCCTGACTTCCCAGGCAGTCAGAGCATAAGGGGGTGGTGTCACTCAGAAGAGATGAAAAGAATAGTAAACAACATTTTATAGATTTTGTTACATTTATTTTCTATCTTACCTATTTCTCTCAGCTTTGAGGTTGTGCTTTTCCATCTTAATATATATGTTCTGTTCTATTATTCGAATGAAATGAATCAAATGAAAGCAAAACCCCAAAGAGAAATTTAAAACTTATGTTAAAATTAATCCTTCTGCCTTTACTCTGCCTAAAATAAGCCAAGTGGTGCCAAAAGAAAATGAGTTACTACTCCTATTTTTGATTTGAATTCAACTTTTGCGACTCAGGATATTCTTTGCAAAAGCCTCAAGACTTTGGAATTCATCTTTTGTCTAGTTACAAATATTTTGTTTATTTCCTTTGTATATTTCATTTCCTCTGCCCATGAGTTGAAATGGGAAAACTTTTAATGATAACTCCTGGAACATAAGCTCTGAGAACTGCTACAAGTGAAGTATACATATTTTCTAAAATATGTAATGATCAGTAATTTATACTGGTTAGTTTATGAAAATACACTAAAAATACATACTGTAGAATTATACCAAAGTGATATGAATGCCTTGAAACTTCTGCTTCTGTTCAGGAAAGAATAACATCTTGGACTTACCCTCATACATGCATATATTGTCCTACCTAAAACAAACAAAATCTAGACAACATATAGAACAACAGCACTCAAGATACAGAGCATCAGGGAATGAAGGACAATAGTCCCAGGAAGACAGGAAATAAATAAAATTAATTCTCACATTGTCCTATCGTACTTCCTAGAGAAAGTTTTCAGTCCCTAGGGCAGGTGGAGGGAGCCCAGGTATAGCCCACTGATCCCAGAACTGAGGAAATGAACTGCAGGTCAAGGGAAAATAAGAAGCCAGAATATAGGAGAGGAGAGAGGTGCATGCACTGAAAATTCCAGAGATATGTGAAGGGTCCTTGTTGAGTTTGATTACTCATGCATAGAAGTAAAAACAAACAAACAAACAAAAACCCACACACCCAAATCTGGGGAAAGATTCACAGTAAAAGAGTAAATAGTGTCTACAATTCACTCAAGGTTGGGAATAGTATTTGTTTTCAAAAGACAAAGTATTAAGTGTTCAATACATTATTACTAAGTACTAAAAAGCATCTTGCCTTGTGGTAGGCTAAATTTAACATAGTCTAAAAGTTGCTTTGGTCCTACCTAACAAAATTTAAAAGTAAAGCAAAACTTAAAAGACTCTAAAAGATAAAATTGTGTCTCAGTAACGTGACACTTTATAGAACAGAGTTCAAGAATATTTATAAGAATATAAAAATACTCATCTCCAAATAAAATGAAATTTACAATCCCTCTACTCAAATCAAAAATTACAAAGTATTATGCCCACCAGGTGGTGTAGTGGTTAAAATGCCAGACTCCCATGTGTTTTACAATGGTTTGAGTCCCAGATCCAGCAGTTTAAAACTCAGGCCGAGCGTGTGTGCATGCATCCCCAAAATTCTAAGAGCAGACTGAAGAATAAGGGATTGCAGCATGGCCATCTCTTCTGGGAGAGGGGGATGATTTCTCTCTCTATTTTTTTCCCTCTCTGTCTCTGTCTCTCCAGTGAGCACACATGCCTTATAGAAAAATCTTTCAAAAATTAAAAAAAAACTACAAAGTATTTAAAGAAGCAGAAAAATATGACCATTAATGAGAAAAAAAAAGTCTATCAGTTGAAATTTCTCTCTCTCTTTTTTTCCCTCTCTGTCTCTGTCTCTCCAGTGAGCACACATGCCTTATAGAAAAATCTTTCAAAAATTAAAAAAAAACTACAAAGTATTTAAAGAAGCAGAAAAATATGACCATTAATGAGAAAAAAAAAGTCTATCAGTTGAAACTCAGGATGGCAGAGACTAGAATTATTAGATAAAAACATTAAAATAGTTGTTACAACTGCATTCCATACTAATATTCAAAAAGTTAGAGGAACATTTAAGCATATTTGATAGAAACATGAAAGATAGGGAAGTGGGAGAACCAGCTGAATTTATAGATAAAAAATTGAGATAGTACCCTTGTCTGCAAATATGGTAGATTAGACATTGTAGGAGAAAATATTAGTGAACTTAAAAATATAGCAACAGAAGCTACCACCCAAAAAAATATAGAAAAAAGAACAAAATGTAATAAACAAGTAAATGAAATATGGAATAATTGACAAAGAATTGAAAAATCTGAAAATAGAGACAAATATAAAAATATTTAAAGAAATTTTGGTCAGTTTATTTCCCAAACTTGATGAAAACTATATATGCACAGATCCAAGAATCTCAACAAATTCCAAACAAAAGATACATTTACAAAGCTGCACCAGGGAACATTATCATCAAATGAAAACCAGTGACAAGGAAAATTTTAAAATCCATGAAAATAATACAGAACACAGACGTATAACCACAGGTATGTCAGTAGATTTGGTGTCAGAAGCAAATCTGACAATTTGTTGGAGCAATATCTTTAAATCACTGAAAAATACAGTGTCAACCTTGAAATTTCTTTTGCCCAATGAAGATACCTTTTGAAAATGAAAACAAGTAGCCCTTTTCAGATATATGAATGCTGAGGAAATTCATTACCTGTTGACCTGAACTATAATAAATGTTAAAAGAGGTCCTTCAAGTTGAAGGATAATGATATTTTACAGAAGCCAGGAGTTACACAAATAATTGAAGAATACTAGAAATCTTAGCTATACATATAAATATGAAGATGATTTCAATTTTTTTGTAATTAAAAATCTTTTTAAGTTTATTCATTTCTTCCATGGGGATAGAGAATGAGATGGAGGCATTCTAAAAGGGTCTTCACACTATGGCCCAACCCAACCCTCAACCAGCCAGGATCATGGCATGCCTATGTGTACCCAATGTGTGCACACAGAGAGAGACCTTGGGGTCTCTCTGCAGGTACCTTCCTGGTACCTTCCCATTTGGCCTCAGTATCATGAAAGGTTGCATCCCTGCTGTACCACTGTGGCTCAACCGAAGATGCTTTTTTATTATTTTAATGTTTTAAAAAGACATTGATAGTTTAAAGGAAAAATAATGAAAATGTATAAAACTATGTAAGATCAAAGTCAGAAAGGAAGACATAGAAATATAATGTTTTAAGGTTCTTACACTATTCCAAGGTAAAATTGTATATTTTGAATGTAGACTGTGATAAGTTAAAGAAAAATAAATGCTAATTATTTACAAACCTTGATCAGCTTTTTTAAATGGTGAAAGACAATAGAAAAATCCTCTTAAAGTATTTTTTAAGGACAGTTAAGGACCATTTATCAGAATTTAGGTGAGATACACAGCTTGTGAGATATACAATCCTATACCTTTCATAAATCTCTTCTCTATAGAGTCATGATACGAACACCTTATAATATAACCATTCCTTTTCTAGCCATCCAGTCTAAGGAAGAAATCAGACAAAGATCCAGACATGTGGAGAAACATTCCCAGTACAATATTACTTGTGAAAACAAAAAATAGAAGTTGGAAACAAGCTTAATGTTCTCCAAAATTGTTGAAATAAATTCTGGTGTAATCATTAATGACTTGTTATACAGACATTAAAATTAGGATTTAAATAGAATTAACTATACCTTGGAAATAAATTCATAATATATTAAGTGATGAAAATTTAAATATGTATAAAATAATCCCCCCTTTTGGTAAAAAATGAAATAAACTGGTGCATGTACATGAACACATCCAGAAAAATATCTAGGAGGAAATATAGAACACTGCTCAGTATCTCTGGTTGATAGAATTTCTAAATTTTTCTTGGTATTTGTTGTTGAAAAGCATTATTTTTACAGTAATTTATAAATTAATGGAGATATTTCCATTTGGGAAATATACTTTCTAAGATTATTTTTTTCTCTTAGTAATGTATTTTAATGTGTCCTGAATCTTTAATCAGAAATTTATTTTCATTATAGGATATATCACATTGTTGAGAAAGGAAAAATGTTTTCTAGAAATGATTGAATTTTATTTTTCTTTCAACCCATCCCAGAACATAGTTATGATAAATTTTGTTGTTGTTGTTTATTTCCCTGAGTATTAGGTATTGTAGAGCTGAGCCCTTGTTATCAGGATCACTTTGCAAACTGGATTTTATTTTATTTTACTACTTGGTCATTTTTTTTTAACTACTTAACCATTTTTAAAGTGAATTCATATCATTTTCATGGCATTACATTTGGTATACATGAATGGAAATTCTGAAAATTCAAAGTGGATGAATATAGAGGATTTAATGTTAAGTGAAGTGAACCAGACATTGAAAGACACACACTGTATATACCCATTCTATATGCATCAAATGTCTGGAGGCCATGGCAGAAATGGGAAGATTCAGAGATATGATAGCAGAGGGGATAGAAACCAGAGACTGTAAGGGAGGGGAGTGGGTGGTAGAGGCCGGATGGGAGGAGCAAAGGAAAGAAACATTTAACAGACAAAAGACTGTAAAGTCCTCTATTTAAAAAAAAATCTGTAATTTTTGCTTTATAAAAATAAAAAATAAAAAAAAGAGGTAATCCACCATCCCATCAAGAAATAATCAGATCACCACCTTGATAGATCATGTAATGTGGAGACCATGTTTTCTAAACAACCAACTTCAGTAAGAGCCAAATCTTAGAGCTAGATTGTAGTCCAACTAGTCTGTAGGTTCTCTCTTAGCACGAATTAATCCAAATAGTCTGGCAGGATCATCATGAATATTTTCCTCTATTGCCTGGCTTTCTGAAGTGAAACCATCTACCAAAGAGGTCTTAGAAATGCTGGCATGTGTTGCATATAATTGCCCATCTTCATTCTTGTCTGATAAAGGAGTATTCTGTTTCCTCGGCTTTCTGCGTTTCCCCTTAAAGCTGTGATCAAGGGAGGCATAGCACATCTGTGATTCAGCGATTGCCTAAAAAGAAAAGTATGTCAATTTTTTATGATTAGTCTGTTCTTTAATAGATGAATTCTAGAAATTTCTATGGCTTATGGAAAATAAGTAACTTCTTTGTGAACTTCTGCTACCCTATTTTGCCAAATTTGTCAGTTAGAATGACAAAACAAAAAACAATAGTCAATGCAAGACTTTTGAGTTGGGGGAAAAAAAGGCTTATATGAAACTTTTTCCTGGAATTTTGTTCCTTATACTGAAAATGTATATAAATATTTCAGATTGACTCTCACCTGTCCCTACCTCTACCTCCAGCTCAGGTAGCTCTTCTCATGCCTTACATTATTCTTATCAAATAACTGTAATACATACTCCAATTGTTAAAGCAGAAACAAGCATGATAGGAAAGAACATAACAAATCACAAGGTTTACCTCATATGTGCTTAACAATTGGTCATTTAATAGTCCCCAAGTTTACTATATTTTTAAGATTCAGTAGTATAAAGAGAACACTGACTTTTTATGTGACTGGCATCTGGCAAATAATTAAATTACCCATATTTCTCTATTATTTCCTTCCTGTTTGTCTGTCTATAGATCCCCTTTAAGCTTGTTAATTTTTTATAATTATTTAATTTTATTTATTATTATTATTTTAATTTGTTATAGGGTACAATGTATTCACTAGAGAGAGACTGGGCTGGGGGGTGGGAGAGAATGAGAAAGCAAGTCGCCAGGTCTGAGACTTGAACTGTGGTCGTCCATGTGGGAGTCCAGTGCCTTAACTACTACACCACCTGCTGGCACCAAAGAGCAGACGTTTTAAAGATATTTTTAGATTTTGCATAATTTCTATAAACTACACACAGCTCAAAGGAAGCTGTATAATTCACATGTAAATAGTAACTTCTATTCTGAACTCTCAATATCTTACAACTAAAGTGCAGTGAATATCTTCTTTTTTGAGTTTTTTTAAATTATGGATTCAGCAGATCATATTATAGCATGTGAGGTTTTTTTTTGATACCTTTTAATCTACAAATATATTTTACAATCAACTGAACCTCAAAAGACAAATTTGGTGACTTTGTTTTTTTTTTTTTTTTTTCCAATCTTCACAACATCTTTGTTTCTTGAATAAATATTTTAAAAAGTCTGATTTCTGGGAACCAGCAGTTAGCGTAATGGCTATGTCGCTGGACTCCCACGTAGTCGGCCACGGTTCGCGTCCCGGACCCGGTGGCTTAAAACTCATGCCGGGTGCGTGTGCATGCGTGCCCAAGATCCCGAGAGGAGAATGGAGGAGAAGGGATTGCAGCGTGACCATCCCCTCTGGGGGGTGATTTCTCGCTTTCTGTCTCTATGTCTCTCTCTGTCTGTCTGGCGAGCACACGCGCCCTGTAGCAAAAACCTCTCCAAAAAAAAAAAAAAAAGAAAAAGAAAAAAAAAAGTCTGATTTCTTAGGTGGTTTTTTATTAAAAAACAAACAGAAAAACAGAAAATATAACAAAACAAAAAACCCAGAGAGAGAAATTCTACCTGAATAGAATTTTCCAAGATGTGACCCATTATAGGGGAGAAGAGAAATTCTTCATCTTTTGCAAGCATTTTTAAAATGGAATACTAATACACAGGAAAGTGGGGAGGTAATACATTTACAGTTTGTTACCCAAGGCCTACTGGTCACTCACACATAGTAATTGCTCAAGAAGTGCCAGCGCGGTTACTATCTCTAGGCAGTAGCCAGAGACCTACAAGCCGTATGAGTATATCTTATGTCTAAGACCATAACTATAGAACTTGGATTACAATTTACATTGAATTTCTTTTTTAAATCAGAGTATTAAGTTTTATATACAACTAATTTATCTTATATGTAAAGGCTCTCTTCTCTCTCTTTCTCTCTGTCCCTCCTGCCTCCCCATCTCTTTGATGAATCTCTGACATCTAGGTCGTGTGAATATCGTACACATTACACTGTTATATTTATCTTAGTGATATATAGTTTTCAGTCTGAAAGACAAAGCTTAATTGAGAATGATCCCATTATCCTTTCAAATCTATTGCCTTTGTAATCATACACAATGTTGACTCTGGAGTGTGCTCTGAATTCTGTTCACTTGCCTATGCATTTAGAGCACAGGTCCCAGAACTTGATACCTGTTCAGACTGCAAATTTTTTTTTTTTTAAGAATTATTTTATTTAAATTTATTTATTTTAATTTGACCAGAGAGGAAGAGAGAGAGAGAGAGAGAGAGAGAGAGAGAGAGAGAGAGAGAGAAAGAAAGAAAGTAAGTGAGAAGCCAAGCCACCAGGTCCGTTACTCAAACCATGGTTGGCCATGTGGGAGTCCAGTACCCTTAACTACAATGTCACCTGCCAACCCCCAGACTGCAAAATTTCTAACCAGTACTTTAGGTGTGTATCAGAATGCACTGTGCTTATACATCTGCAGTATGTGTGGGCGCTTCAGCTAGACTGAACCTGACTTCTGATACAGAAAGCAGTACTTACCTGTGCAGACGGGGAGGCTTCCTCCATCTCACTGGCAAATCTCTCAGGCCGTGCTTTCATTTGTTCATAGCAGTTTTCATCTATTGGTTCTTGGGAGTTGAAAAGATTGTGATTCACAGTGTTAAAGGGGAAAATGCTGGCACAAACAAAGTATGTGATCCAAACAGCTCTTAGTTGTAAATAGAAAACCCTCAAGAGTGATTGAATTTAGTGTTTCTAGTGGAGATATGAGAAGGAAGGAAGCTCAGACTGTTACCTATCAATCACACAGTGAAAGCTTTTGTCCTATAGCATTGATGATAAGGCAAAAAGAACTTCAAGGGCTGGATATTGGTAGAGTGGTAAAAGGCGATGCTCTGTGAGGCTGACCCATTTGGTAAGGATCAGGCTTTGCATCAGGAGACTTCCCTGAGTTCACCAGGCACCTGCATGCCCAGGATCTGGGATGGGCTGGGGATGGATCATGGTGTCCAGACCTTGTCAGGAAACTATCTTGCTCTCTGACTCTCTTGCATATAGAATGAATGAATGAATAATAAGTGAATCTTGAAGTAAGATTATATTAATATTTTAAAGAATTATTTAATTTGATTTCATATTGTTTAAAAAAATCACCACAGAGAAAGAGACAGGGGGGAAGTAAGAAAGCAAGCTGCCAGGTTCATGGCCACATGGTTGGCCATGTGGGCATCCAGTGCCTTAACCACCATGCCACCTGCTAGCCTCTAGATTATATTAATTTCATGATTCCACTGCAAGACATGATAGTGTCTACTCAAACCACCATTGAGATGGTAAAGATCCTATGAGGTAAAGAACTGCATGTTCTCTGCTTCTGAGGTAGGATTCAGTGGTGCATGGTGACACAAAGCATGGTGCACACAGATCCATGGCTGCAGTTTGTTTTCTGTTCCACGAGCCAGAAGTCTCCCTTGGTGACAGTTGAAACCCAACAGCCTAATTTTGAAAAAGAGGGCTCAGATTATGATTTAGCTCCTTCAATTAGTGACAGGACAGCTCACCAGGCTGTCCTAAGGGTCTGGGGCTGCAAGTATTTTGGGGCTGTGTACACTGTCCAACAGCCAGTGGAACATTTTAATTGAATCATCCATATTTTTATTCCCCCATATGAATGACTCACTCATAGCCTGGCCAGGACCTGGCAGGAACATGAATTAAACCAATTTGACCCCGAAGAGAGAAAGATATATTTACTATAACAAACAAAAGGTACTGAATGATTATTCAACCCTTTCTGAAAAACGACACAAGGGTTTATGAAGGAGTGTTTCTCAGATTATGCCTCATGGACCAGCCACATCAAAATCACCTGGGGTCTTTGTTAAGCATCAGATTTCTAAGTTCCATCTGAGACCTAACCAGAATCTGTGCCTGTGACACTGGCTTACTTAGGTGTAGAAATCACAGCTGCAGTGGGCAGTGAACCCCCAGCATGCATAAGAATTTAAGTCTTCAAGTGTTAAAGGTAAGCACTACAATTCTGTGAATTGAAGCAGAAGGACAAATTGCTATTATTTTTAAGCTTATTTCACGAGAGAAAGAGAGACTGGAACCCTCTCCAAGGTCTGGCCATGACTTGATCCCCCTCTTCTCACCCCAGTCTTCCAGCCAGCCAGGACCATCAGTATACCTGTAGGTAGTGAGCACACTGGCTTATTCAGGTGGACCTAGGATCCAAACCTAGGGCTTTCCCACACTGCTCACTGTGCCGTGGCACACACTGTAGGAGCAGTATGTGATACGGAAGCTGTCCTGGGGTACACCACCGGGGACAGACCAGGGAGATTAGTTTTAACAGTATATTCTTGAAAAATAGGTTCTGAGTCCTTAGTGTGCAGAAATTAAAGGACCCTTTACAATGGAGGCAAAGCCAAAAATAAATTCTTGAATCCTATAATATTTAACATTCCTAATTTGAACCGGATTCCGGACTGTTTTGATATATAGATATTCAAATAAATTAGTAACATACTGGAAAGCTTTGTGTTTGAGACTTGTGGGTCAATAGGAGTTAACCCCAAAGTCTCCCATCATGAGTGGGATGAATATTTGCAGGGAGAAGGGAAGCGTCTCTCATCAGAGCTCTGGATCGGACCAAGGTTATCTGTTTTGAGGAATTTAGGCTGTTTTGTTATTAGGTGGTTGAAGAAGTTCAAGTCATAAGGAATGCTGAGATTTGAAAAGCTCTTATTAAATAAAAACAAAAACAAAGGACCAGCAGTTAGCGTAATGGCTATGTCACTGGACTCCCACGTAGCTGACCACGGTTCGTGTCCCGGACCCAGTGGCTTAAAACTCACGCCGGGTGCGTGTGCGTGTGTGCCCAAGATCCCGAGAGGAGAATGGAGGAGAAGGGATTGCGGCGTGGCCATCCCCTCTGGGGGGTGATTTCTCGTTTTCTGTGTCTCTGTCTCTCTCTGTCTGTCTGGCCAGCATGCACGCCCTATAGCAAAACCTCTTTTTTTTTTTTTTTTTTTTTTAGAACAAAAACAAATGTATCAGCCACACAGAGGTGAGTCAGTGCTGCTTTCCTCCTACCTGCCATCCATGCAGCCCAGGCTCTCTACTTAAAAAGAACTAGTTAAAACACAGGAAATGAGAGAAAGAGTTCATTGTTCCAGATCATCACTGTAGATTTGCTTTTGTATACAGAGCACAAAGCGCTATTTCTGAGGACCATTTTATGTTCCAGAAATAGCTTTATTTCATAGAATTCAGTGTGCGTCAAAATGACGGTAACGTAGTCTTCCTGTATTCTCATTACTACCAGGGTGAAATGAAAAGGATATAGAAAAACAGGATGTTGTTTTACACTGAATATCATAATATAATTTATAATATAGAGCTTTGGAAACATGGCCTAAATAAGGTGTAAATATATGGGAATTTATGGGTATTGTTGGGATACTTAAATGTGATTGTGATCTTAAAAAAAAGATACCTTGGGACCCAGAGGTGGCACGGTAATTAAGGTGCTAGACTCCCACATGGCTGACTGTGGTTTGAGTCCTGGACCCAGCAGCTTGAAAATCATGCCAGGCATGTGAGTGTGCATGCTCAAATTCCTAAGAGGAGAATGGAGAAGGGACTGCAGTGTGGCCATCCCCCTGGGGGGTGATTTCTCACTTTCTCTCTCTCTGTCTTTCTCAGGGGAGCACAAGTGCCCTATGGCCAAAACAGTAGCAATAACAACAACAAAACAACTCAAAGCAACTACCTTAAATTCTTTGAGGAATTAAGTGGGATTTATTTAATTTATTGATTAATTTATAAAAAATAAACCTTACCTGGGATTATGTCATCTAAATTACCATAAATTGGTGTGTCTTCAATATAATATTCAGCATTCCTATAATAAGGAAGAATAATTTATCTTATTAGAGTCCACATTGCATAAAGTTCATGACTAATTTCTCAGATAAATTTAATACTGAGCAAGCCTTAACCAACCAAGGTAGATGTGT